TGCCGGTTACTAATGGAAAAACAAGGGCACGTAATTGAAGGCAAAACACTAACGCCTTGACCTGGAACTAATAAAAATCTATTTCTGTGGTTGTTTTATTTAGTTTTATTTTTGTTTTGTTTTTCAATTTGCCATGTGGTAATAGATATAATACGTAAGCAGAATACATGTGTGCGTACATAGTGTTTTTACAAAAACAAACCTGAGAAAACATCAACGTAAACGATAGAAAATTGCTTAAAAACCGTACGAATATAAACAGCTGTTCCAAAGATAAGAAATTCGATGTCTTGAAATGTAAAATTTTTAAATGTGATGGGAATCGGCTAGATTGAGCTCGAGAGACACGATATATTTTTGATCAGCGTAAGATTTTAGATCAATACTTCGCAGAATCATCTACGAGATGGGCTTGTCAAAATAATCACAGCCCGCTCAACAAAATATTTTACAATTTTTACATACAAATTTAAGGAATTGATGAATAATTCACTTAAAATAACGTTATAAAGTTAACGCGCTGAGTTCTATTGAGCTTTTTAAGTGAGTGTTGGCATTATCGGAAAATCGATTCTGTTTGAATTTTGAGTCGCTGCAAATGCTGCAAAAAACAGACGAATTTCTAAGTCCAACATATACGGGTTATGGATGATTGATTGAGAGTGGAGTTAGGGAGAATTTATAAATGAATGAAAATAGGTTTTGTTTGCTTCCAAACTTAGTGTAGCGGAAAAAGTACGAAAATTATATTGATTTTGGGAAAACCTTTCATCATACCCATCGCTTTTACACCAAAAAAGAAGGTATCGAAAGAAGTGAAATTGTCATATTCGTTAATATTGGTTGGGCGTGGCCGACCTTTTTCTCCATATTGAATAGTTACAACATAACTCGCTAGAGTGTGTGTGCAACGATTTTATCGTCTTATATTATTTGTAGTTTGTGTGTCGGCCGACTCTTAGTCACAGAAGCTTGGAAAGATGTGTAGAATTGTTTCTTCTTCAAAATTTACGTTATTTTCGTTGTTGCCTTCTGACAAATGCTTATTTAATTTTTCCATTTTTTTTTTTTTTTTTCTTTGGCATTTAACTTAAGTATCGATTTTGCACTGTCGAAGTAAAATGTTGCATAAAAGTAGACTAAAAATTCGTACACATTTTCTAATATTTGCATAAAGTCTTATATGTGCTTGTTTCCATATAATTTTTTTTTTTTTTTTGAAAATTTGATAAGATTGCCAGAAGAAAAAATGATAATACCTACTCACCTCAACTTAGTCTTTCCCGTCTTTTAATTTTAAGTATTAAGTTTTTTTTTTAAATTAAAATTTTTGATTTTCTTGTTTTGTCTTATACTCTTTTATCTTTGACGCGATCTGGAATGATGCAGGAGGTTATGTTTATATGAATGGCGATGCAGTGAAAATACAACCACCTGTTGCCACCACCGTCTATACGAATGTTCCTGTTGATACGGCAATGCTAGCGACCAATCTGTATGGTCCGACAACACAATTAGCAGCTCCGGCAGCGACCCATATCCCCTTGATAGCGACCGCAGGACCTCAACCGCCACATCCACAGGCATTGCAAGTGGCCACAGCACCCGCTCAACATCAACAACTGATAACACACACTCACAGTCATACGGCCGCCGCACCACACACGCAACAACCTACTTTGCAAAGTATACAGTCAGCAGCAGTGGCTGCAGCCGCTTCCCAAAACACTCATCAGGTACAAGGTCATCCTCAGCAGGCTCATTTGCAGTTTGCTCATCAAACACAAATTGCCACCGGTGCCGGTGCTGGCGGTGCAACTGTTACAACCACAACGATTGATAACACCGAATACGCAGTCATGAATGGCGCCATAACTCAAGACGGCACTGTCGTCTGTTATAGTCAAGAGGAATTGCCAGTGGGTATGGGCGGTATGAGCGGAACGGTAGCGAATTTGGTTGCTGTTGAGCAAATGTCTGGTACAGCTGGTACAACAGCCCACAATCCCCATGCTCAACACCACGTGATTATGACTAATGGACCGCCGCCAAGTGCGGCCCAACAACAGTCACAGCAACAGCATGCTAGTGGCGGTAACAACAACAACACCACCAATAATAATAATCATAACAGTAGTAACAGTAGCAGTAACAATAATAGTTCAACTAACGCTGTTAATCATATGGGCGATAATAATAATGGTCTAACGCTGGATCAACTCAAGCAAATGCTGGCCACACAACTAGAATATTACTTTTCTAGGTTAGGTTTAACTTTTTTTTTTTTCTCCCTTTCTGTCTTTTTTTCATTTTTAATTTAAATATGCTACTTTTTCGTCCGTAGAGAGAATTTAGCAAATGATACTTATCTTCTATCTCAAATGGACAGTGATCAGTATGTGCCCATATGGACAGTGGCCAATTTTAACCTTGTTAAGAAACTAACAAAGGATATAAAACTTATAACTGAAGTTCTTAGGGAATCGCCCAATGTGCAAGTCGATGAGGAAGGTCTGCGTGTGAGGCCCAATCATAAACGTTGCATAATAATATTACGTGAAATTCCTGATAAAACTCCAGTTGAAGAAGTGAAGGTTCGATGTGAATTATTGCTTTATAGATTCTCAATATATAGAATTAACTCTTCATTTGCTTTTGCAGAATATTTTCAACAATGAAAACTGCCCACGTGCTATATCATGTGAATTTGCTGGGAATAATTCATGGTACGTTACATTCGAATCCGATGAGGATGCACAAAAGGCCTTTAAATATTTGAGGGAAGATGTTAAAGAGTTCCAGGTTAGTTTTTACGCCTTCAGGCGCTTTATGTCGCAAAAAAATGAAAGATTTTCCTTAATTTGTTTAAAGGGTAAACCTATAATGGCTCGTATGAAAGCTAAGCCATTTATAAACAGAATACCTATTGCTCCTGTAACGGCTTTGAAGAATGGTTATCGTTTGGCTTCACCGTCTGCTGCCGTCTATGATCCCAACGCAGCTGCAGCAGCTGCAGTGGCCTATAGCACACCACCTCAACGTTTTGTTTACACAACAAATGGTGCTGCAATGGCACAAGCTCCCGTCCCTTATAACAATCAAGTTCATCTGATAGTAAGTAATTTTATTATGAATATTGATAATAGGTAGAATGTATTTTATATTAATTTACTACTTTCAGCCATTCCAACAGCAGCAGTTCTATCCGGGCATTGTAGCAACTGCTCCTTGGCCGACAGCAACAGCGGCTGCAGTTGCTGCCGCAGCTACCACAGCTCATGGACAAAATTTTTATGAAATCGGAAATGTGTTTGCCGCCAATGGCCTAGCTCCACAAGCAGTACCTGCCTATGCTGCAACAGCACCGCCCCCCACTGCTAGTTCACTGTCGGGTAGCACAAAACCGCAAAGCAGTGGTGGCGGCAATCGGTACGGAAACAGCCACCGTAATAATGCTGGGAATTCGGGAGGTGGTAGCGGTGGTCATCGTAAACAACCCCGCAATAACAATATTCAACAACTGCAACAAACTCAGCCTCTGTACACTTACACTGGTAGCAATATAATTGTTTCCAGTGTAAGTGTAGGCGGAACAGCCGGCCTTGTTAGTGTGGTACCTGCCGCGATCGTCGATTCTCATCAACAACAGGCTGCGCAGCAGCATCAAATGCAACAACCACCAAATCAACAAACGACTTCAAGTCAACAACAGCAAACCTCACAGCAAACCAGTAACTCGAGCAGACACTATTCGAGTATGAAGCCAAATACTGGTAAGTACCGAATTTAAGCAGACTTTTTTGATTATGCATTTTTTTCGTGAAATTTTTGCAGGCGGTATACCCAAATCGTCTTTGGATAAACCATACGGCGGGGGTAGCAATACAAGTAGCAGTATGAATACTCATCATCATTATGGAACACAAACTCAAACCTCGATCACATCCCACCACCATGCACAAAGTCAACAGCAACAACAACAACAGCAACAACAAATGTCGGCTGGTGGTAGTGGTGGTAGTGCGGGCAACGCAGCACACATACAACAAACTCACTATCAAATGCCTTCCTCGAACACAACTGGAACAATGCAACATGCTTCCTATGGTCATAGTACCCCAACGGTATCGGCCCAACAACACCACCATCACCAGCAACAACAGCAGCAATCACAGCAACAGCAAATTCATCATCAACAGGCAGTGCCTCAACAAAATGATTTGCAAGATGATTTAGTGGGTGGCGGGGTCGGTAGTGCTAACGATATCATGCCATCATCACAGACGCAGCATGTATCGCACAGTGGTCACCATCAGCACCCACGCAACAACATAAGCGCAACGACGTCATCTTTGGTTACTTCTGTTGGCGTAGGCAGTAATGGTGGTGGTGGTGGTGTTGGCAGTGGGATAGGCAAAGAACCACCCCATTGGACCCAGTCGCGTCCTCGTCGTCGTAGACGCGACGACGATAACAGTGGTATGACGTACTCCCCCAGTAATCGCGTTGGCGGTGGTGGGGGAGGCGGCGGTGCGGTTAGTATTACGAATTTTTGTACCATCCCTACTAATAGCTGTTTTCTGACCCTGACTCATAACATTCTAGTGGGTATAGGAGATGGGAGTGGTGGTATTGGTCTACTGAGCAGTGGCCATTCCTCCTCAACTTCTACTACCTCCACAGTCAACTATTCCGCCAGACGGAGTCTTACGTTTTCAGAAAGTAATCAATTTCAGTATTCCCATGTTTCTACTAACCTAAATGATAATGATAAATGTACCAACAACAACAACAATAATCAAATAACGCATATATTCACACAAACCCCCCGTTTTAATTCTCAACAGCAATCATATAATGCAACACATCATTCACAACAGCAGTCTGGCGGCACCGGAGGCAGTGCAGGAGGTGGAGGTATGTCAACATCTGGCGGTGGTGGTCACCACCATTCAAGCCGCAGCGGTGGTGATATGAGTAGTCATCATAATTCACATCGTGGAGATAACGAACACCGTGGGAACTACAAAGGCAACAATTACAATCCACATTATAATAGTGGCGGTGGTGGCAGTGGTGGCTCTCATCACCATTCGTCTTCAACAGCTAGCTCGTCCCATCATGGTCATGGTCATCATCATAATAACACTGGCACATCTTCAGGTACATCTAATCAACAACACTATTCGTCTACGTCAACGCACCATCCTATGTCTTCTTCTTCTTCGCATCATTCATATCATCACCATTATCATCACAACAGTGAAGGACGTGTTGGTGGTGATGGTAATCGGAGCATAGAAGGTCGTAACAGCAGTGGTGGCGGTGGTAGCGGTGGTGGTGGTGGTGGTGGTGGTTGTTGTGATGATAGTGGTGATGATGATGGGCACTATTGCCTGAATAACTAGAACCACCGCCGCCGCCACCGCTGCCACCACAATTCGATCTGGAAGCAGCCGCCTTTCCACCACTGCCAGGTAACGTTCCGCAAAAACGGAAATTGTATAATGAACTATGAATAATAAAATATTACTATTACGATTATTTACAGCCACTTCATCATCGGTGACTGCTAATAGTGTTGTATCAACTGGTGGTTCTAATAACAAGCAAACTGCCCAAACCATGCAGCAAGTGAGTTCAAATGATGCTACAACATCTGCCAATAGCATGAATATCAACAGCAATAACCTTAACAGCAATAATAACAATAGTGGCGACCAGCAGCAGCAACAACAACAACATCATCACCATCAGCAACAACAGCAGCAGCAGCAGCAGCAGCAGCAGACACACGGACACCAACTGCAACAATCAAAAAAACGTTAATAGTCAACCTTATCATCATCAACAGGTGCAAACACAACAACAGCAACAACATCATCATCATCACCATCAGCAGCAACATCCACAACAGCACCATCAGCAGCCACATCACCAACAGAGCTCAAATAGTAACAATTCCTTGCAACAACAAACTAATAGTTCCTCAGGCGGTGCAGTCACATGTATTTCGGGAAATAGTAACGCCCCCAGTTGGTCTGAGAATCGATTAGCTGATGTTGTGCGCAGTGGTGGATTTGGAGCAGGAAAAATTAAATCACGTAAAGATTCCAGCCACAATAATAAACAACAACAAACGCAATATATTTATCAACAGCAACCACAACAACAACGGGGTAGTACAGCTGTTAGTCCAATTTCCAACATGCCCACCAACACTATAATAACAAATAATGCACCCGCCATAGAAATCATTAGCCAAGATGATCACAAACGTGATCAAGGTGGCATCAGTAATAATATTAGCAACAAGTCGTTGATAAATAAGCAAAATTCAAGTAGTAACAATTCTGCATCTGTGATAAAGTGTGTAACACATACAATAAATAATAACATAATTAACAACAGCAAAACAAGCAACAATGTTGCAGCATCGTTTCATGCCGGTAGTGACGTTGGCGCTGGCAATGTCAATCATCCCAATGAAAAAATTAACAAGACTGAAGAAATGATGTATACCGTGGATAATACTAATAATACAGTACCTACTGTTTTAACGGGTGGTTGTGGTGGTGTAGGTCATATTTTGAAAAACTACAGTGCCAGTACTGAGACAAGTATGAATGCTAAAGGTAATAATGCAGTTGCTCCAGCAACTGTAAGCTCTACCTGTAGTGTCGCCACAATGACCACAAACCTTGCCGAATGTAGTCTGAATAATCATAAAAAACCACCCGCCATTGCAGCTCTAATTGCCAAAAAAGAAACGCCAAAAGATGCTAGTAAGCAAAAAAATGCCTCCACGTCAACCAGCTCAACTTCCACAGAGAATTTGGCTGCTGTTGTTGTGATGACACCGCCCACAAATGCTATAACTAATACTTTAAATGCCTGTAATTCATCGGCAGCTTCCAGACTGAGCTATGCTCAAGTGGCTCAGCGTAAAGATGAAAACGCAGCTGCTTCCACGCTGGCTACTCTATCATCACCTGTCGCTGTGAACAAATATGAAATGGCCTCTCAACCCGCTCTTAACTGTAACAAAAATGATCAACTTAACACGGCCACTATTGAAAAGATTATTAGCGCAAATGCAACCGCATCTACTGTAGGAAGTGGTACAAATAGTAACGCCTCTGTGTCTGTGTCTGTGTCTACATCGTCAAATTTAGGAGCTGTGAGTAGTAGTGTCAGCAACAGCGTTACATTGCGTACTGACATTTCCAAAGATAAAGGTAAGAGAGAGTGCTGTAAGCTGCAAGGTTTCTCTGCACTAAACAAACAATAATTTTGAGGAAAGAAATGCGATAAGTCACAAAAAAAAAAAAACATCCTTTTTATTATAATTGCAGATGTATCGTGTGAGAATCGTCAGAGCACTGGAAGTAATGCTAGTGTTGGTGGTAGTGTGAATAGTAGTAGTAATAATGTTATAACTGCAAATGCCTGTTCAGTAACAACACGTAATCGTGTTGATGCCAAAGACTTTAAAGTTGGTCATACACGCGAGCGTGTTGACACCAGTGAAAGCAGTAACAGTAGCTCTGCCAATGGTGGGGGCAGTGCGCGAAAAACTAATAGAACTAATAATACTAACTAAGGGAAGAATTCGATAATTTGATATTCTCTCCACCCACTATAAAAACAGGTCCTCATTATATGACATATTTAGATGAGAAAAGTGCAAAAGAAAAAAAAAAAAAAAAAAAAAAAAAAAATAGCCGAATTAAAACAAATATTGTATAAAGTAGATGATGACATAAAGCGAAAGAATGAATGTCGACGCAAAAGAAAAAAAAAAAACAAAAAAAAATCTTAAGTGAAAAGAACTGATATTGCATATTTTCTTTAGTACCCTTTGTATTCATATATATATATACGTACGTATGTATAGATATGACTGTTTTCAAGTTTAAAGTTTTATTTATTTATATATTTCGGTTTTTTTTTTTTTTTTTTTTTTTTTTTTTTTTTTTAAATTTATATATACGAAAAAAGTGGGAACACTACGAACAAATCTAAAAATAAACATTAAGAAACGAAAAGAATTTCTCGAAGCAAACTAGAATTCTTTTTTCCTCGACAATGTTTTTTATTTTTCATCCAAATAAATTTATATGCGAGCGTATAATTTAAATTACTCTTGTTATGTTTGTTAGTGTAAAAAATTTTGAAAAAAAAAAAAGGAGACTACTAACAACACACATCACACATTACAAGAAGTACATAGACACACTATAATAAATGAAATAATCTTATTAGGATAAATGCAAACAACTACTATTACTACTACTTTCATCTACAACTGCTACTGCAACTATTACTATGAACTGTTGCTAAAAACTAAGAAAGAAAAAATAATGAATTAAAAAAAAAAAACAAAACATACTACTATTATAAAACAGATATTTCACCATAAAACCATAAAATATCAAACATAAAATATTTATTACACATACGCGCATATATATCGTGTGCATTAAGAGTGCAAAAGTACGCATTATAAATATATACTATATATATATATATATATATTTATTTATAGTTATATATATATATTTATAAAATTAAACGCTTTAAAAACAGGAGGTTAAAACGAACTACCTTAAAGGTATGTATTGTAAAGTTTTTTGTTTTTTATTTAATAATTTTTCTTGTACTACTCTTTTTGTTTTTCATCTGTTTACAACTTATTTACTGTGATTTATATGACTTTCAACGAATTTTTTATCGTTTGATGCCTATTTTTTCCAGTTGGTCTTGATAAATAACAAATACGTGAAATATGCACGTAACGCGTAATGTTACCCAAATGGATACTCCATATATATATATATTCCTCGTCAAGAATATCCTGACGAATATACCAAAGGAATCAAAAGAAATTGTGAAATCATAAAACGATAGATCATCCAGTTTCGTCAGGAATATATATATATATATATATATTATATATGTAGAATATATATATATTTATATATATATCTGACGAATATATATATATATATATATATATATATATTCCTCACGAATGTATGTATATATATACATGTTCCTGATTCCTATATATATATATTCGTGACGAAACTGGACAATTTATCGTTTTATGATTTTACAGTTCCTTTTGGTTCACCGAAATATCCACGTCATGAAAAGCTTGGATTTTGCGCCAATTCAGTTAAACGGCCTAACAGCTGAATAGCAAAGCGCTCGACGCTAAAGGGTTTTATCTGGATAAATATCGAGTAACAAATTGGTCCGTCTGCGTATGTGTGTGTTCCACAAATACTTGTGTCGAATATTTTACATCGTTTTACTTCTTTTTATTTATTTATTTATTTACTTATTTTTTTTTTTTTTTAATTTTTATATAAAAATATATAATTAATTTGCTTTCTACTTTACTTTCTTGCAGGTTTTTTGTGTGTGCATCAAATAGACTTATTTTGAAAGTTAAATCTATATATAATTATATCTATGTAAGAATTAATATAAAAAAAAAAAAAAAAAAAAAAAAGAGAAATCAGATAAAAAAGAAATATGATTTTGTTTGATTTAATTTCGTAGTCATTATATTATATACACTATATATGTATAATAAATAAATTCATTATTGTGCTGTATATATGAACACATTATTAACGCTGGAAGCAAATATATTAAGTATGTAGACATTAAGACGACAGTGAATACATATATATATATATATATATATATATATACATAAATTTCATGCATATACATATACATATGTATATATGTATGCTTGAAGTTTGTTTGCAAATGTCTGCAAAAACACATTATATTAACACAAAAAACAAAAAAAAAAAAAAAAAAAAAGAATTCTCGGTGTAACACATAAACACATAATTAATTACTTAGACATTAAATGCCGTCACATGCATACACGCATACATGTGGATGAAGCATGTACTACTACTTTTGTGCATATACATAAATTTTTGTAGTTAGGTAATTATTAACTTGTTAATGTAAATATGAAAATGATTAAAGAGAAAAAGAAGATGAAAATACACTAAGTATTTACTTTTGATTATTATCATTATATATACATAATATATATTTTTTATTTTTATTTGTTTTTATTTTTAGATTTCTTTTTCACTTCACTTTTTTTCCTTTACATTATGAACATATGTAATCATATTTATTTATATACATAACCGATAAGGAAACAAATTATTTTTGAAGCTATTTGGTTGTTTCTCTTATTTATTATTATTTTATTTTTATTTTTTGCTTTGGAAATAATAATTTTTTATTCAATTATTATATTATATAACAGTTCTTTTGTTCATTTTATAAGTAAAAAAAAAAAAAATGGGCTTTAATAAATTTGCCAAATTATTTAGTTTTTATAACACAAAAAAATTTACATTTTTAAATATTTATGAGTACATATATATGTGTAAGCACATAAGTTTTTCATGATGCTTTTAGCTAATCTTGTCTACAATTTTATTTTAAATCATTATCAGGCTTCTTTTTTTTCCTTTTTTTTTTGTGGTGAACTATAAATATTGGTGTTATTTAGTAATCGCTATAAGTACTGATACAAGCAAAACAAATAAGAACAATTTGTTTTTTATGGACAAAATTGTTGCATTTCTTTGTTGTTTATAAATGTGAACAAAAAATAAATACAGAAACGAAAAAAAAAAAAAAACAAGAAAAAACAAAAACAAAAAAAAAATCAAAAGAAAATGAATTAACATTACATGTTTTGATCAAATACAAACAAAAAACATGTATTCTCAGTTAGAATGGTTTCACTTACAGTTTAACACTAAAACTCTTACATGTACTCTACTTACTTACTTACTTATTCTCTACATACACAGGCAGCCACTTACTACAACAATTATAACAGTTACACACAATATACAATCAAATCAATCAATCAATCAATCAATCAATCAATTAATCTCAAACGGCGGACCCCAGCTACCGAAAAATTCAGCTCGACTTCAAACTCGGTGTACTCATTGTACAAGTAACGAAAAAACGAAACGAAAGCGAAAAAGTAAGCTCATATTGTTCACCTACACGCATGGCGTTTCATTGCCGCTTATACACTTACGACACTCACAAACATCATCACATTAATCAATAACACACGCACGACAGATATACAAAACACTTGCACAAACGATAGGTACACGCACGATACCGGCATATATATAGAAAAGCAATACCTTCGTTCTCCGAAATGGAAGAACTTTGTAAAAGCGAAAAGAATTGTCGAAATAGCTTCGGTCGGAGACCCCATTTGATTAATAATGGCAGCCCCCTTTTATTATTCCCTGACGCAGGGAAGGACCGACAATAAAAAGTTGGCAAAAACAACCACACATACTTAAACACATTACTCTCGCCCATCCAACACCCCGACCCAACCAACCTTCACACCTTTATCTACATGTATATGTACGTTATTGTTGTTTGTTTGTTTGTTTCCCTAATTGCAAAAAGGAGGTAAAAACGTAAAAACGCACTTAAGTGCAAAGCATTTATAATTCATTTATTTTTTTTCACAATTTCCTTATATCTCTTTTTCTTCTCTCTTTCTCTCAATCCGGCGATATTTTTTTTTTTTATTTTGTTGCGTAAAACATGAAGTTTCATGAAATTTGAACGTTTCAGTTAACGCTGCAAGACACGCTCTCCTTCAAATCATAATTTTTACTAATTAAATATCTTTGGTGTTTTTTTTTTTTTTTTGTAAAGTTCTAATTACATTAAAATAAAAACGCAAAAAAAAAAAAAAAAAAAAAATAAAAAAACCAAAAAAAAATATGTGCCATTAAAAAAAAAAAAAAAAAATCTTTTTTTTTTTTTTTTTTGCAAAACATATAAATAATTATTTTAATTTCTTTATTACTTTTATGTATAGATATTATAGTTGTTTTTGTTTTCTTTTTTTTGTTTTTCTTCTTTACTTTTTTTCTCTTTTTTGTTCCTTTATATTTTTGTTTGTTTTTTTTTTTTTAATTTTCTTATTACAACCAAATATACCAAACACAAAATACCCGTCTTCTATATATAAAACATATATCGATTGTACTGGTCCCTATGTATATATATAGTGCGAAATCATAGACATAGAATTAATAGATACATTTTCATAAACATATATATATATATACATATATATTTATACATATACATATGCATATATATATATATGTGTGTATAGTTCTAGTTGCTTTAAATAAAAAGAAAATCGTTGGAAAATAAGTACGTTAAGCTCTAATATCGTCTTTTGATTTTTTTTTTTTTCAAACTTTTTTTAATCTAAGCGAAAAGAAACTTTAATTTTTAAATTATCTTTAAAATTAAACTTTAAAATAATTTGTTATCATTTAGGAATTTTTTCTTTTTCGCCGTTTATTTTCAATTCAAATAATAGCAATAATGATGTATGTATTTTTGAAAAGATTTAAAAAAAAATATATATATATTTTCTTTTTACTGATATAAATATTGATACAATATATATATATATATATATTGTTAATATAATCATATAATTACTATGAGCATAAGCAATAATAAGTCCATCTCAAGTAAGACATTCAATTTCTTTATCGCTTTTACAAAGACAAAAACAAAATATGTTTGTAAAGGAATGTTATAGCATTAGAGCCCCCCCACCATTATCATTGCAGTGGTAAATGAGACTTTCGGTCAATTTTCGGCATTTTTTTTCAATCATTCTATAAAATATTCATTTGAAAATTTTGTATTATCTGAAACTTTTAAATATTTATTCCTCAAATTTG